ATTGCCACAAGTTCAAGGCCAACCTGGTCTACACAGCAAGTTCCAGGTCAGCCAGGGCTTCATAGCAAGACACTGTCTTGAAAAGTCAAAACGGGGCCTACAGATATAGTTCAGTGGGCAAAGTTATTGCCTAATATGCATGAGGCCCTGGGTTCAATCCCTGTACTACATAAACTATAAATGGTAGCATAGGCCAAGACAAAGGAGGACTGGAATTTCAAGTTGCCCCCAGCTATTTAGTGAGTTCCAGGATAGCAAGGGCATACATAAGACCCCAACTCAAAAGATAAACAAATAAAACAAAACTATTCTTAGTTCATAGCATTCAAAAGCAGGCGAGATTTGAAAGGGGCCGTAGCTCACAGCCCTGCCCTGGACTACCCAGCATCTACGCAGCATTTGAATCCTGCATCTACTTCTTGGTAATACTTTTCTCCTCCTACCTGACTGGAGGGTGAGGCCTCCTCGAGTTTCCTTGCCCCTCTGAGCCATGGCAAGGACTGGGTACCCAGACTTCAGTGGAGAGAAGTTTCTGGGCTGTGAAGTTTGGAGGGTCGCAAGGCTGAGACCCTCCTGGGACCTCACAACACAGCTCACTGACAAAAGATGGGGGCTTGATGGGGTGTAGAAATCCCTGGCCTGTGCTTCTATGTCTCAAACAAGACAGTTATTTGTCCAAGGCTCTTCAGAGTGACAGAGCAGAGCTGAGACCAGAAGTCAGCTTGTGACATAGATTTCAATGTCCTTTCTGCTCCCCACAGCTACTGGGTACCATTGTCAAGGAAGCCAGCAGCCCCCTCTGTCTGCCTTGCTTGGCGGTGAAGCTTTATGAGAGAATCGGCTCAGAACGTGGCACCCAGCTTAAATGCAGCAGTTAGATCAGGGAGAGGCTCTGTGACCCCCTGGCTGGCTGGACCTAGTCTGGGGACCCTGCCCTCCACCACACACCCCCTTCCAGGCAGAGCATCCCACCAGTACATAGTAAGGGTAGCTAAGTGCCCTAGGTCTATTCACCTGCAAGAATCTCCTTTTCTGGGTGGCTGGTACCAGGGGAAAGAAGACTTGGTTCCTGAAGGGACTCCCCAGACAGAAGAGGGAGTGATGTGAAGTGTGTAGGCAGAAATCCCCGGAGCGTTCTCAGGACTTCCTGTGTTAACAAGATAGAGCAGGTGTTCAAAGCGAGGGACGGAATCCTGTCAGAGAATTCTCTTCCTACTTTGGGGACTGAGCCTTGTGTCCCTAGCGGGAAAGACTCAGGTGCAGGCCCAGAAACTCCATGCACCATCACCCCTCCGTGATGACATCAGGTAAGGCAAGAAGGTGAGGCACACGCAAGACATGACGTCACTGTGATCCTCCCAACCACACCAAGCACTGGGAATCAGGGGGCTGAAGCCTGCAGGGAGCAGACTCCTTGCCCAAAGGCAACCAGACATTGAGCGGCAGGGGTGGATTTTATACCAAGCCTCAGCCCGCACCAGCGGCCAGCAGAAGACATGCACATGTAAACAGTGAATGAACAAGTCAATCGCCTCTTCTGGGCCATTCTTGCCACTTCAGCCGATGGCGGGGAGAGGGAGGACATGAGTTCAAATCTCCAGCATCTATGGAGAAGCCAGACACGGCAGTGTAGGCTTATAACCCCATTATCAGGCAGCAGAAACAGGACAGGTGGCTGGCCAGTCAGCCTAAGACTCCAGGCTCAGCAAGAGACTCTGGCTCAAGAAATGAAAAGATAAAAAAAAAAAAGTGGGGCAGACACCTGACATCAGTCTCTGGCCTAAACACACATACCTTTTTTTTTTTTTTTTTTTAAAAAAAAAAAAAAAAAAGAAGAAGGATCAGCTTGGTATGGTGGCACACACCTTTAGTCCCATCATTTGGGAGGGCAGAGGCAGGCCGATCTCTGAGTTTAAAGCCAGCCTGGTCTACATTGTGAGTTTGAGGACAGCCAGGGCTATGTAGAGAGACCCTGTCTCAATAGGGGGATTCAGTATATCCAGGGTGTGTATCACCGTGGTCCCTTGGGACAACGTCTTCCATGGCAGAGTCTCCTGACTTATCAGGGTCCTGCTGGCTGTCAGGTAGCTTTGCGACCTTCTTCAGTTCAAAGCCAAACTTCAGACTGCCTCCCAAGCCCACCTCCTCAGCTGACAGGGCCTTGGGAACATCAGGAGTAGATGCTTCCTGCAGGCAGTAGGTTAGGCTGAAATGCACCCACATCTTCCCCCTTTCTCCTGCTGCTGTGCCGCAGGCTAGTTCCACCAGGCCTGGCCACCAGCCCTTAAGTGATCCTGGACCTCTGGCCACCTGAGAGCCACAGTGTGTGTATGTGTGTGTGTGTGTGTGTGTGTGTGTGTGTGTGTGCACGCGTGGCTTGGGGTCAGCTAGAAGTAGACTGATCACACCTCTACATCGCGTTGGGAACCTACGCGCAGGTGCGGGAGTGATTACTCATAAGCACATGCCGCTGTAGGAGCCAGGGCTAACCTTGGTGTGTTCCTACCCTCTGAGATGGGAAAGTGCCTGCTCAGCAGCAAATGCCTAGAGAGCGAAGGTGAAGGGTCCAGGAAAGGAGAGAGAAAGGGTTACTGGGGACACAGAGTCCAGGGAAAGAAACGTGGCTTATCCCAAAGGAGTGAAGCTAAGCAGGGAGGTCTGGAACTCCGCCAACCAGTCCCTCCTGGGCAGCAAAGCAGGGAGATTCTTCAGACTATGCAAATAATGAAGAGCCAGTGAGGGGTCCTTTCTCTCCAGGAGCAGGGCCCTGCTGGAGGGCTGCAGTCTGGCAGTTCCATGCCTACCTGACCCACCCATCCAAGCACAGAGTGCTGGCCCTTCCTGGCATGTTTCCATTAAGCTCCCCCCATTCTCTTAGAGGGAACCACCTTCTCCAAACGAAAGGGACACTTCTAGCTAAGGCCTTGGCTTGATGGGGCTTCATGGTCTTTGACCCTAGAGTCAGCCCAGGGCATCCCTGAGAGATTCCCAATCCTTACCCCCCGCCCCCCCCCCACACGATCCCCTCTGCTTCCGTGTGTTATCTCATGGAAGAGTATCTACAGTTCACACAACAGCCCTCCCTCTCAGAAGTCCCTCTTCACACAGGAGTTTGCCAGGAGCCATGGCATCAACGGGAGCAGGACATGAGTTCCAATAATGGCTTAGGTCTGGCCATCCTTCTTCCCCTTCAGGTCCCAAACTCAGTTAGGGGAGGAGAGAAGGAACCAGAGGAGGCGGGGGGGGGGGGGGGGGGGGGAGGGAAGAGAGGCAAAAGGAGGGCCTAAAGTGAGGTAGGGTCAGAAGACACAAGGCGGGCGCTGGGTGCAGGCTGGATTAACCAGCAGAGAACATCTAGTCTGTAGAGAAACACAGCCCCATCCTCTCTGGATCCCAGGGCAGGGATCCCCTCCCTGAACCACCCCAGACTAGGAATCTACTTGCTTCTCAGAGCTTGCCCCTCTGGTAAAGCCTGGTTCTATCTGCCTGGCACAGGACAGGGGAGCCTGATTTGAGAACTCCCCCAATCATTCCTTCCTGAGGATTCCAGCCCAGGATTCCTGGGCCCTGCCCAGGTGGAGCAGGGGTTGAGAGCAGGCTTGGGGTCAGCTCTACATCAGATAGATCAGGTCAGATCACAGCTCCACATCATCGCCTTGGGAACATTCATCCCAGGGTCTGTTCCCTGGCTAGTGAAACGGTGATAACAACGCTCAGGAAATATCACGAGATTATTGTGATACCTTGCTTGGCACACAGCAGGGACTGGGGACCGGAGCCTGGCTGGGGCAAAAGAAACCTCTCTCTGGGTCTTTCAGGATGCAGCCCAAACTCACAGCCACAGCTGCCTGTTGGCCAAACCCCAGAAGATACCCCAGGCCCAAGGCATGATAAAGACAAGAGTTCTCGGGGATGCAAGGATTTGGCTCCCCAGCGCCCCCACCCCCCACCTCACTGTGTGCTCTGTGTCTACGCTGAATCTCACATCTGATGTGGTGGGGGCCAGCTGGTAGTGTTTGTGAACCACAGGGCCCAGGCCACAGACCACAGCTGGGTAGGCTGGGGAAGGTTGCTGAGGGCTGAGCTGGCCAGGATGGGAAAGCGGGGCTGACAGCAGCAGTCAGAACGCAAAAGGTTCTGAGGACTGCCTCTATCCCACAATCCTACGCCCTGCTCCCGTGAAAGGCTTAGAGAGAAATACGTGAGGCCACTGGGGCCTAGAGGGGTGCTGACCCCTCGGCACAGAAAAACAACCACAAGGCCTGCAGAAGCCAGGGGCCTGTCCCCCAACAGGGTGGCACGGGGCCTCTGACACACCCCGTTTTCAGAGTCCTGTTTGTGTCCTTCGAACGCAGCAGTCAAGCTACGACTCCGGAGCTCAGGTCTTCCGAGGCCAAACCATCCACGCGCCTTCTTTTCCACACTCTATCAGCTGCTGTCCCCAGCTGATGAAGTGGGGAGGGTCATTGCCTCTCTGGACTTCCCCAAGAGATAAGAGACACGTTCCCTAGAGACCCTGTTCACCCCGCAGCCAACGCTGGGGAGCTACAGGCTTCACCTGTCCTCGGTTCTCCCCAGGTCTGTGGCCTACCACCCACGGCCTGTGGAGCTGGAAAGTTCACTAAAGCCCAGAAAGCCCTTCGAGGAGGCAATCAGGCCCTATACTCCAGGGTCCCTTCGTTATCCGGGACTCTTGACCCTTGTCCTTCCCATAAGGAAGGTACTTAGCGTCTGGCTTGCGCCTGGGTGGGAACTTTTGCTTTGGTAGGGTTCCGACGGAGCCCAGGGCCAAAGGGAGTCCCCGATCAGGAGTCCCCGCGGGGCACGCGTTCTGTCTCAGCACCTGGAACTTGGGAGTGGCTTTCCCAGGGCATCCTTCACCCCCCAAAACACAAGCGCGCCCAGCTGTCGCCCATCGCCCACAGCAGCTGGGGAATTTTGCTCGGATCTCTCGCTCCAGAGCAAAGGCAGACGGCCCCTTTAAGGGCCGCCCGGCTTACCTTTGCTCAGCTTGCCCGGCGCGGTGCCCCTCTCCGGCCGCCGCGCTGTCCGCGCGTGTCCCGGTCGCGGCGAGCCGGCTCCCGCCCGCCGCGGCCGCGCTGCCAAGGCTGGGTGCCCTGCCCCGCGCCCCGCGCCCTGCCGGGGTCCCTACTCGGGACTCTGGCTCTTCCCGGCTCTGGAAAGGTGAGCAGTTCCCCCCAAAGAAGCTGCCACCTGAGCTGCGGGAGGAGGGAGAAGGGAGGGGTGCAGGAAGGTGGGTAAGAGGAGGAGGAAGAGGAGGAGGAGGAAGGCAAAAGCCCGGCCCCAGCCAGAGTTTTTCACGTGTACAAGTTGACTCCGCCCTTGTCCGGACCGGCCCTGCCCACAGCCGCTGCCAATCCCCTGCTCTCCCTCTGTCCTTGTGGTCACCCCTTTCTCCTACTCTGAGAACTGGGGCCGGTACTTCTTCCTGTTCTCTTCAAAGCTGTCCCTGAGTACAGGGTGAGGCCCTCTGGCCTGGACCACACTGGGACAGGTCTCTAAATGCCCCTACCCAACCTGCTGAGTGCCAACTTGCCCACTACACACACACACACACACACACACACACACACACACACAGAGAGAGAGAGAGAGAGAGAGAGAGAGAGAGAGAGAGAGAGAGAGAGAGAGCCTAGCACCTAAGAGCTAATGTGCAAGCACAGGGCATAGGGCAATTGGCCATTCTCCTATCTTCTCTAAACGAAGTGTAAGATGGTCAGTTATCTGTTCATGGCTCTCTGAACCCCCCTCCCCTGTCCCCAGCTCTGCCTCTCCAAGGCCTGGAGGAAGAACTCCTTCCACGAGGAGCGCTGTCCTTTTGTCCAACCGAATCATCTAAGATGTTTGCAAACAGCAATGCTAATTGGTTCTCATTTTACACAAGAGGAAACTGAGGCTCAGAAAGGAGACTGAAGAGGCCCAAAGTCCTGCAGGGTATGCATAGGGAGTCAAAATTAGAACCAGGTCGAGGATGATTCTATCCACACCATCTAACTTCAGGGGTCAAAAGAACCACCTCCCACCCCACCCCCCCAGGTGGTGGGGACTGGAGAGATGGTTCAACAGTTAAGAGCACTGGCTCCTCTTGCAGAGGGCCCAGGTTCAGTTCCCAATCCCTATATGAGAGCTCACAACTATCTTAGCTCCTATTCTGGGGTATCTGACACCCTCTTCTGGTCTCCATAGCATCGAGAACATATATAGGTTCTCACACACATAGACGCAGGTAAAACACACATACACATGAGCTAAAAATAATGTTTTTAAAAGCACACACACCAACAAGAAGCTGGGGTGGCTTGAAGGACAGTGTTCTCATGCAGGGCCCCTCTAGCCTTATTTCCTGTGCTCTGAGGGGACTCGGTCAAGGAGGCCGATGTCCCCAGTCACAGGTCTATGTCCTATGGCTTCCACAATCTGGTGCCCTTGAGAAGGGTGCGTTGAATCAAACTCTTGACTGAGGAGAATGCAATGTTGGGAACAGGACAGTTTTCTAAAAGACGTGGGCCTGAGGTCACAACCACAGCTGGAGACAGGAGAAAGAAGAGCCATACAGGGCCTAGGCATGACAGTGACCTACCGGTGATTGACGGCCTCCCCACAAGGGGCCTCCCCACAAGGGGCCTCCCCACTCTTTGCCTGTTTTCTCTACCAGGGCATATAGAGTTTTTCTGGGCATGAGCACTTTATAAAACTGTGGCTTCTCCAAGCTGGAGGGCTGCAGAGCGTGGTTGTAGTCAGAACCTCTGGGGTTGGGGCGGAGGCTACACCCTGTCCTGCTCCATGAGTAAAAAAGAATGGGGTAGGTGTAGGGGCACAGGCCTGTAAACCCAGCACACAGGAGGAAAAGGCAGATCAACCTGGTCTCCAGAGTGAGTTCCAGGCCGGCCAAGGCTACACAGTGAGACCCGGTCTCAAGAAGACAGGAAGAGGAGAAGGAGGAGGAAGAGGAAGAGGAGGAGGAGGAGGGGGGAGGAGGAGGAGGAGGAGGAGGAGGAGGAGGAGGAGGGGGGAGGAGGAGGAGGAGGAGGAGGAGGAGGAGGAGGAGGAGGAGGGGAACAGTAACAGGGAGCAGGAAGGCAATGTCAAGTCCAGGGAGGGTTGGAGGGCTGGACTATGGCTAAGCATCTAGGGGATTAGAGATGATGGGACCAAAGGGTAGAGTTTCAGAGAGCCAGGGGGTAAGGTCAAAAGGGCTCACACACAGTTTCTGAATATCTTCTGCATGTCAAGCAGTAGCCAGGCCTCTGAGCACAGAGGATAAATAAAACCCAGACCCTACTCTCCAGGAGCTTGTGGGGTAGGGACGCAAATGGGGGTGGTCAAGTCCACTTTCCGTTGCTATATCAAATACCTGAGAGAGCCAGCTTATGAAGAGAACATGGGAGGGAGGAAAAGAGGGAAAGACAGAGAGAGAGAGAGAGAGAGAGAGAGAGAGAGAGAGAGAGAGAGAGAGAGCGCAAACATGGTTTTGGAGAAAACAAGTCTGTTGCTTTCAGAACTATGGCAGCATAGGACGTCACGGTTGGGAGCAGGTGGAAGATCGGTGCCAGTCATCTCGGGGCTTGAAAGCCAAAGAGAGAAAAGAATCGGGCTGGGGTCCCACTGTCCCCTCAGAGGTTCACGTTCAGTCACCACCAAGCCCTGCCGTGTGGCCACAGGATAGCAACTGAACCTTCAGAACATGGCCCACTGTGACGCTACCACGGCACAGAGATCAGCGCCGGGCGGCCCAGGGACAGTCCCCGAGCTCCGTCTGAGCTGAGGGCCACTGGGAGAGAAGTGGGGAGGGCAGAAGGACCTTGATGACATGGAGCCGCGTAGAGCATCTCAGGGAAGAGATCTATCTCACCAGGTCACCTTAGGACACTCCAGCAGCCGAGTGGAAGGATGCTGGAGGGGCCAAGCCAGAGATGGAAATCCCAGCCAGGGGCCAATCCTAGTGAAGAGTGGTGCAGTCTCAGACTGTGGCAGCCCCGGCCGTGGAGAGAGGGGACCTGATCTGAGAGATGGTTAGAACAGTCACAGGACTGTGTGTCTGTTTGTGTGGCAAGATCAAAGAGTGTTAAGAGAGTCAAGGTTGGGAGCAGCAGTGTGATAAGCTGGGCAGGGCCTTGAGGCTTCTTAAGGGTGCCTTCATCCCCAGCACTCCCTTGGATCACTGTGTGATCTTGGGCAAGTGACCTAACCTCTCTGAGTCTAATTTTGCAGTCTACAGGACAAAGCCACTGAAGTCAATCTCATGTGGTTGTAGTGCACATCAGGGGTAATGTATGCTAAGAGCCTAGCCCAGGGCTTGGCTCACAAGGACTCAATAAGCAGCAGAGATAATTACCATCGTTTGTTCACCCAACAAACATTTATGAAGCGCTTTCTGTATGCCAAAGATACTGGGTCCTTGGGCTCAGTCCCTGTTCTCATGGAGCTCACTGTCCACGGGGGAGAGGTGTGCATAGGAACTGTCACACGTCAAGACAACGTTGCCTGAGGCAGAGGACAGAAGCCTTATTCTGCCCCAGCGTAACTTGACAAAGGACAGGTGACAGTGTAAACAGTATAAGGTCATCTACCTGGCACAAGACTACTGTCAAATCATCTCATCTCCGTTTGGGAGTTGCATTCAGAATTTTGAAGCCACCCCCTTTAAAGACATGGTCTTAGAGGAGCTTATGGCTGCAGCTCCTGCTCCTCAGGAGGCAGAGGCATAAGGATGGGAAGTTCAAGGGCTGTCTGGTCTACATGTGGAGTCCAATCCAGTCTGGGTATCTAAAGAATGCAAAGGGCTAGGGGTATAACTCAGTGGTAGAGTGCTTGCAGAGCAGGTGTACGGCCCTAGGTTCAATTCCCAGTACCAATAATAAAAAATAATTTAAAAAAATAGAGACATTGTCTTAGCTGGGTATGGTGGCACCTGTGATCCCAACCCTGGGGGAGCTGAGGCAAGAGGATAATGAGCTGGAGGCCAGCCTGGACTACTTAGTGAGATCTCGTCTCCAAAAAAACCTAAATAAAGGCATCAGTGGCTGCAGATGGGTATCTATATGAAGCCCAGAGAACGGCACACAGCGCGTCAACATTCCCAGGAAAAGCCACAGGAAGAAGGGTTAGCTAGGTAAGAGTGGAGGTCTGATGTGGGCAGGGCTCCAGCAAGGCCGGGAGTATGCAGCGGGCACTTCCTGCCCCTCCAGGCATATGAACTGACATGTGAAGCTTGAGCCATCCCCATCTGCTCCCATCTGTATCCTTCTAAGACTTCCTCCCAAACCTTTTGGTACCCCCCACTCAACCATGCCTATTTTCTTGCACACATCTCTCCAGACAGTTCGGTAGTTGCGATACCACCTGGGGCCTCCCACTAAGGTGGGACATCCATTCTGGGAGCCTCTGATCAAGAAAGACCTCAGGCTGTAAAGCCCCTATAGTCTGTGTGACCTTGGCCTGTTCTCGCTCTGGCTTGTTTTCTCTCTGTACAGGGGATGTACAAAACAGTCTCATGGAGCTGCTGTGAGTTCAGCGAGATGTAAAGTTGGCACCCCACACCCCATCAATATTCCTTCCCTTCTCTGCAGCCCATCTGCCCCCATCTTTGTAGAGGATCGGACAAGAGGTTCTCAACTGGGAGTGTTCCTAGCACCCCTGCTCCTGGGGTCTTTCCTTCAGCATCCCCTTCCTTCCCTCTGGGGTAACTTGGGAGTATTCCTGGGAGGCTGGGGTAGTCCTGGCAGTGGCCTGATTCTGGCAGACCTGGGCAGCACAGGGTGGGGGTGAGGAGCAACCCAACTTCCCCCTCTCTGTTCCCAGCAACATGCCACTGCTCTGCAGATAGGATGGCATCCTGAGGCGCCTGAGGGATATGTGGGGAATCTGGAAACTGCTCTCCCTCACAGACTGTGTGGGCAGCACATTTGAATAATTTCTGTAAACCTAAAGTTCAAGCTTGTTCCACTTCTTTCCCCAAAGGCTCACAGCATCCAACAGGGAGAGCTTGGCCAGCTGTGAGGCTCTTCTGGTGTACACACACACATATGTACACACACACACATAACACACACACACACACACACACACACACACACACACACACACACACACACACACAGGTAGGTGGTCTCCAAAAGCCCTTCAGGGACCCTTGGAAGACCAGAGCCCTGAGTCTTCCATGAAAATGCAGGAGGTGCTCTAGCTAGCCAGACCCCAGTCTCAATTTTTCTCTTCACCAGAATGGCACAGTCTGAATGTCCCTGTCTTGGGGCATCAGGATTTAAAGGGACATGACTCCCATAGGCTGAGCGA